TGAGAATGTATATGATATTGCCACATTCTTTAATTTCGGCTTTCTATTTTTTACTTAACTAACAGTACCATCAGTTAAAAGAGTCTCATAATATTTGGAAATATCATCTAAAAAGTGTAGAACAGCATCATCTCTAGAAAGTGTTTTATCGGCCCTAGGAACCATGTATATGCTACCACTGTTCTAAGCGTTTTGGATCCTATAAAAACATTTACAATGAAAAAATTGAGGTTCAACAAAAAAATAACAGTAACACCTCTTTATCTAACATTAAAACTCTATAAAAATGGTAGTTTGTGCAATAATAGTTGTACAGTACATTTTTTTTAAGACCCACTAACGAAAATTTACAAATTAAAAAAAATATTTTAGGTTATTAAGACAAAATAACTAATTTTAAAATAATTTATGACTTTTTAAATAATTTTTAAAATAAGATAAACGAAAATCAAAGTTTAGTACTTTTTTCCCCATCCGAGAATCGAACTCCAGTCTTCTGTGTGAAAGGCCAGAGAGCTGACCACAAGAGCACCTATTTTTTATTTTTGATGCTTTAATACTCGTAATTAAATTGACTTCATGTAGTTTTATTTAAATTAACAAATTATTTATAATTATAGACGAAATAAAAACAGAAATGCTATTATTTATCGATTCTACACAAGAATAACCCATTTTAATGTATGTTTAATCTCAATAACTAAAAAATATACTGACAATTAGTTTGACAGAATTGTCACTTTTTTAAAATTTTAAAAATAATAGCAGTCGGTTGATCAAAATATGAACAGTGATTAGTGGATTTCATTTTTTTGCAATGTTTTCACTAGCTAGAATAAATATAAAATATATTCGTTCAGTTGAAGGCAATAGCATACTTTTTCGTTTTGAAGTCTGTGCGTAGATAAGCTAATATCCATGTGGGTGTAAAAAAAATTTTTTTTTAGTTAGTTAAATTTAATATATAATTATTGTTGTTTCTAAGTCAGGATCTATGACTGTAAAATTTAATTTATAGAAACTTGTAATAAAATAAACCACACTCCGTGAAACTTGTTGGTTGTAACTAGTTTGAAATAAATATTATATTTAGACGTAAATACATTATTTTACTCCCCCCACATATGGGGTAAACATTGCATAAAAATAATAAAGGATATTTTTTAACTAATCACGTACATGGTCGAAACGGTATCAAATGTGAAAAATTGCTAAAATCTGGACATTTATATAAATTTTAAGAAAAAGATTTAAATGGCTAAGTGACAATAAATTGTAAAATCCTGTCTCACGCAAGTGTATCCAATGTTTACAATGTCAAAATATCGGCATTTATGTAAGACTGAATTTAAAAGTATTACAATAACGTTTAAATAAAAAGTATTTAAATAAATAAGATTAGGAATAATACTAATAATATTGTTTGATCCAACTTAGACGTTTATGAGATACCCAATGATATACATAATTATATAGATTGCTCACCCACCTGTAAATAAAACTACCAAAAGCGGGTAGCAATGCGCACTGCTGTATGGCCGTTCTCAGTGTTCACTGAATAGAGCCGTTCTAGCACAAATGTTTAAAAAGAAAAATCAGCATTTGAATCTTTAGAAAAATGAAATAATTTAATTTTTACTTCAATCCACGATATTATGTCAGGTATTTTGAAAGTTGAGTTTCCACGTAGTTAAATAATATTAACATATCTAAACAATTTTTATAACGGATGTAAATAATTTCAAAGCACTCTCGTTTCAGAAATAACACTATACGCTATACCTCGTACTCATTGATATAGCGCCTGACAGCTATAGTATGCAACTACGTGGTCATGGGCTTTTAGGGGTACGCCGATTTTCCTTGGATAGTCACATTCAAGTCAATAAATATTAGAATCCAATTTGAACAAAATAGAACGGTATGTTAAAAAGTTAACTACGTATATAAGTAACAATTGTGTTATTTATTAAATTTACTTAAAAAAATAAGATTAAAACTATTTATTAATTATTATTAATTCAAAAGAATAAAGTTCTCTTTATTATTAAATAAAATTAATTTTATAAATTGTTGACTTATTATAAATAGGACCTGATATTTTTGTCAAATTGGACATTCTAATTTCATAGTAACATCCTACATTAGTTTCAATTAACAAAAAATTAAGTATCTATAAAATTATATTTACATAAAATGTACATTTTAATCTGTAAAAATCCTAATGACAATAAAACAAAAATTCTAATTTCTGAACCGGTTCTGTAAATAGTTTACAAAATTGAAGCAAATCATGTATTAGACAAAAAAAATTTCTTCCAGTGAAATACGCTTTTCGTCGTCTGATTTACATATGGGTAAGCAATCTATGTAACTATGTATATCATTGGGAGTGAGATATAAAATGTGCTATGCTTTAAACATATTATTACAATTTTTCACAGCTTATTTGTGTGAATTCCACATACTTTGATTACTATACGGTGTAAGAGAGACGTCCGACACGCTCAACATAGGAAGCGGCTATTTTGATGCAATTACTACTAGGTTAGGCAACACATTTTTCAAAAATGTTAAACTGGTATTTTAAGATTTTAAATGAAGGCAACAAATGTAAAAGAAACGTTTATTTATTTTAAATAATATACAAGATACTTCTTTGAAGTAAAGTTACAATTGCGAGGGCATCTTGAAATAGAAGTGAGTGATTTTAAATTATTTCTAAAGCTGTGCATATGATTTTACCTTAATATTATGATATTTTTCGCCAGTCCCATGCCAATAAACAAACATTTTATTTTTGTAATGTAAAAAAAATCTCTGAAGCTAAACAATCTAATATTATATTTTGTATTTTTTTAGCTGTAAATATGTTTAGAAATGTAAGATTATAGAAGCTCTAACTAAAAGTTATTACAAGAGGTATATACTCTTGCAGACAAGCTGCAAAAGATAGTTTTTATGTTATAATTTATCTGAGACAGACACGTTGAATTTGTATAACAGTTATTTTTTTAAATTAATTATAGGTAGTTGTTAAATTTTTAACTAAAACAGATGTATTGTTTATCTACAAATGAGTCTTCTTTCAGTTTTTACACAGTAAGAAATTGCTGAATATTTTCTCTTGAAGAAAATACCCCTATGGGTATTACTGCCACCACCTCCACCAATATTCTCGTTTTCAAAGATTACACAAGTTTGTTAATTGTATTAACATTAGATTGCCAGTGTACATTTTCAAAACTCTTGCATATCTCCCTTTTTTCTGTTTCTAAAGTAATCGATGATCTAGCTATGCTTTTCTTAGTCTGTCGACTTAATATTGTAAAGGCATATCGACATATGGTGGCTCTAAACGACGTTTTTGTTACTTTTATGATTCCTGTATATGTCTTACGTATAAAATCAATGTACCTGGATTAGTGGTACTTTTGCTTCTCAAAAATAAAAATTTCCATTTATCCGAAATTGTTACTCAGTTTACTGTACCAAGTAATTTTTTAACTGCTCCAGATAAACTATCTAGCAGAGGGGGTTATTTTCTTAGTGAGGCTGTGGGCTACCTCTACTTTCAGGTGTGCAGATGAGCCAGAGGTAACCTAAAATAAATAAAAACAATTAATATAGTATAAATGTTCCAAAAAGTAAACTATATTACTTACAAGTTTATAATTTTTCGTTTGATTTTAATACTGCTCCTATCTATTGAAGTAAATGCTTCATTTTTTTTGGTATTTGCCTTCTACAAAGAATTGTTTCATGATTGATCACATACCATTTTACATAAGAGCAATATGCATTTTCCTCAAAATGCTGATAACAGATATAACGGAGTTTAGCTAAAAATAATTCATGTTAAGTGCTCGAAATTCCTAGGAGACCTGAAAAATAAAAAGCATTTAGAATACAACAATAGGAATATAATTAAAGTAGTTACTGTTACTTACAAATGGAAAGATTTACCACAAAATCACCATGCAAAGCAAGGCTTTCAAGATATTCATTATTTGTTAATGGTTTTGTAAAGTGTAGGTTTGTAAATAATATCTTTGGGGATTGACTTTGGGTAAAACCACTATTGCGTCAAGATGTAGGCGACACGTAATAAGTGTTCAAAATGACGGAGTTTTCTATCTTCTTTTAAAATTCACTCAAAAAGCTAAGCAGTGCGGCCATTCTCCGTATAGTAAGAGAAAATTATGTGGTGAATTCGGATTTTCAGTATTAACCAACATTAAAACTAAAAAAAAAAAAACATCATTATTAAATATAGAAGACGATATAAGAGTATTTGAATAAGGATAATTTTCTGACAGTAGTAGAATTTTATATAAATAAAAATTTTCTTGGTTTAATGGGTCATTGTTTTTATTTTCAATCGTTTAGCACTACATATGTTTCGGAAATTAATTTTTTTCCATCTTCGGGTGCAGTTAAAATTTAAAATTAAAAAAAAACACAAGGAGACGATTAGAAACAGTTTAAAATTTTTTAAAATAACACTTTCACACGCTGAAAGAAAAAGAGGGGGTTCTGTTTCTAATCGTCCCCTTGTGTTTTTTTTTAATTACATTTTAACTGCACCCGAAGATGACCGATTAAACCAACGAAATTTTTATTTATATAAAAGATATGATAGTAGCATTGTCATTTTTTCTACCAAATATAAATGAAATTATCAAAAAACATCTAGCTCAAATTTCGCATTAAAAGTATTGTTATTATTAATTTGTTTTTAATCCCTTAATAAACGTATTGTTATTTGTGAAGTACATATTATTTTATTCAACACATTTAAAATTACTAACATAAACTATTTTACGCAGTGTGTTATAGATAAGTAAATAATTTTTAAACTTATCTTTTTCTTTGTGTACCGCCAAATTTTGAAATCATTAAAAGTATGCAGCAACCAAAAAAAGGTTGAGAATCACTGGTCTATGGGGTGAACCACACTGTATATTACACCATGGACGTGAATATGAAAAATTGTTGCCGACTTTGTCACTTTTCAGTCAGTCAAAAATGTTTACCTAAATATTCTGACAGTTCGTAACTTTTTTAAAACTGATTGTCAAATTATTTTTTTTGCCAATATTTTTTGGTCAAAATTCAGCATGAAAACAGTTGTATCTAAAACAGGAATAGAAGTATTATATCCATGCACTATCCATGTACTAACCAATGAAGCAATAATCGAATGTGAATATAAATCCGACAACATAGGCCAAGATCTTATGGATTACATTTGTGATTATTTTAGTCTAAAAGAAATAGATTATTGGGGACTCAAATTTATAGACACTTACGGACAACGACACTGGTTGGATGTGAATAAGTTGATTAGGATTCAAGTAAAGAACTGTTGCCCAGTACATTTTCAGCTTAGAATAAAAGTGTATCCGCCACAGCCTTATAAACTATCAGATCAATCGGCAAAAGATCAGATTTTCATACAACTAAGATTTGCTTTAATTAGTGGTAGTTTAAGTTGTGGACCTAATGATGTTCCATTGTTTGTCAGTTTGATTCTTCAATACATTTACGGCGATTACGATGAAAACGTACACTTTGGTAATTACGTTAAAGAGAAAATAATCATCAATCAAACTTTTACTGCAGAATTAAAAGCTATAGAGATACACAAGAATTATCTGAAAGGTTTGAATGAGGAGCAAGCAATTGATTTGTTTTTGAGATTAGCTTGCCAGTTAGAAACGTATGGAGTGGATCCTTATTTGGTTGAAAACGATAAAAACGAAAAGTTAATTTTATATATTAATTACAAAGGAATTGCAACATATAAAGATAGTGAAAGAGTAAACTTTTATGATTGGATGACTATCAGTAAAATTACACAATCAAAAAGGTTAATATACATTCACTTGACAAGTAATAAAGTTATAACATACGTTTGTGTAACTGAAGGAGAATGCAACTATATTTACCTAGGAGCTTTAAGTCACTTAATTTTTTTTACTACATCCGGATACCAGTCAACTGTCGGAATAATTGGTAATAAAAAAGAAGATGATACATCAACTGAAGTAGTTATGAAGTATAAATCTGACCCAAAGGAGGATTTATTTCGAATAAACCGAAATAGAAATAAATTATCTAAATTTCGCAAAATTTATAACTTTTTTATTTGTAGGCATACAATTTTATTTATAGTTTTTGTTAGTGTTTGTTTTCTAGTGCATGTATTAGAATTATTCCAGTACAACATTTTAGAAATTTCGGAAAGAATTAAATTATTAAGATGGAGTTTCGATTAAAAATTGTTATTTTGGTGATAGAAATTGAAATTTTTGTAGATTTATTTTGTAATTAGTATACAATTTACTAATTTCTATTTTTTTTTAAGTAAAATAAAAACGTGTCAACTCAAATTATTTTTATATAGGGTGTTTCAGAATAAAGTATCGTAAATAAGGGGACTTTAGATTTTAATTAATTAATAAGAAATACTAAATATAATTCTCCTGTAAACGTCCCAGTTTTCATTCTACAGGGTAATAAAGTGAATTTCATAAATACATAATTTTCTAAATATCTTCTCTTACAGAAAAGATTTTTTAAATTAAAAATATGTACTTGTTAGTTAATCGTCATTATTAGATTACACACTCTCTTTTGATAAAATACGATAACCCGTTGACGTAGAATCAAGGGTTAAGAAAACAATTCTAATCCAAATGTACCTTCTTTTTGATTTCTACGATGTAAATTGTACTTAAGAAGTGATTTGCTCAAATTGCTGATACTGCGTGGATTCATAAATTGACCAAGACAAATGAAATCAGAGTAACTTGATATATTCGCGGCCCAAAGTCTACTTTGCGATAAAATGAATGATACTATAATACGATAATGACAAAAATGTTGAGCCTCAAGTTATCTCTTACGAGTTTAGGCATATAAAAGAAAGTGAGAAAATTAATACTTGTAATGTAAAGAATTTTTGTTACTGCTTATAATGCTTACATATTAAATTAATTCTTAATGACTATTAAAAAAAAATGAATGTAATTGAATGTTAATAAATTTGTATCACATATTTAAATTGAAAGTATAAATGTTAGGTTTCTTTGTTTCGGCCATGTGGCATTACACCGCGGTTCTTCCCTGTATGATCGTCTCCTAGGTAGATGAAGTCTTTCCGATACTCGGAATCTGTTGAAGGTATAGTACAAGCAAGAGATATAGTGTGACTTTAAAGCTTTAAAGCCAGCCGGCAACATACAGGTTGAGAATCACTGTTCGCTATACTTACGCGGGTTTCGGATTAACGAAATTATGCAAATTAGTCATTGACAACCAGTTCCAATAAGCCGCTTCCCAAGAAATTAGGTAAAATTGCCTTAATGGTCATATTTAAGATAAAATAGCATTAGGGTAGGTACTAAATTTGTTACAAATATTGCAGTTGAATTGATTCTTTGCAAGTGTTAACATTGTATGTATATTGTAAATTTAGTGGAAATTTTAATAATGCCTAGACGTGTGTTAGATATAGATAGTCTAATTTGTAGTGTAAATAAGTATTTTACGGATGAAAAAGAAAATGGCGGTCCTTTAAAATCGGTAATGTATGTACAACAACGCGTATGCGATGCTCTAGGAATTAGTGAAACCAAATTAAGAGGAATATTACAAAATCACAATAGTGAACTGCCGAAAGAAGATCACCGCAAAACTCGCCAATCATTGAAAATGAAAGATATTCCAGATGGAAAGAAATTTGAAATTCGTGATACCATTTATCGAATGAGGACCAACAAGGAACATGTGACCTTAAATACAATTCTCTCGGAATTAATAGATAGAAAATTTGACGACATTGGCAGAACAAGTCTATTGCAAGTGATACATAACTTGGGTTTCAAATTTCAAAAAAAGGATAACAGAAAGGCCCTTTGTGAAAGAAGTTCTGTCGTGCACAAGAGAATTAACTTTCTAAGAAAATATTCTAAATTGAAAGAAGAAGGAGCGAATTTTATATATTTAGACGAAACATGAATATTTTCTAGGGGTGCAACCAAGAAAATAGGGTAAGATGATAACGTAAAGTCCATCAAACATACCGATAGAGAAGGGAAGCGACACATAATTTTACATGCAGGAGGGAAATCTTGTTTTATAGAAGGTGCTGATTTAATATTTTCATCTAAATCAAAATCCAGTGACTATCACGATAATATGAACACAGAAATGTTTGTAAAATGGTTGCATGAAATACTTCTCCCAGGTTTAAGAGAGCCCAGCGTAATTATTTTAGACAATGCATCTCTTGGACTGTTGATAAAATTAAAAAATGGTTGACAAAGGAACATATACCATTTCCTCAATATATATTAAAATCAGAATTATAACACTTGGCAAATATACACGCAAAACCAAAAACCTTTGTTGTGGATCAGATTATTGAAAGTTACGGTCATCAAGTTTTACGTCTGCCACCGTATCATTGCCAGTTTAATCCCATCGAATATATATGGGGAATAGCAAAACAATATTATGACAACCATATTGGGCCTAATGGTTATAGTGACGACGCAATTCGGGAAACTTGGCGAAAAGCACTTTCAATTGGAACTGCAGAAGTATTGCGGAACTGTATTTCCAAGTGCGAGAAACTAATAGAAGATTGGTGGACTCGTGAAAATAAAATAAACGAAATAAGTCCAATCATAATAACAATTAATGGTGATGACACTGATGATGATGACGATTATGATATTTTGGATGATAATGACTGATTTTCATTTTTGTTGGCAAGTTAATTTTTTTATTTTTCATTTGAAATTCTCTACACGAAACAAATTTTTATGTTAGAAAATATTTTATTTGAGCTAAATAACCCTCTTATTATACATAGACCATATTTTCTGTGTGAAGTGTAATATAAAATTATTATTAGTTGTATAATAGCCACATTAGACTCCATTAATGAAGAAGTTTAATTCTGCTCTCAATTATACAAAAGATTCTCCATTATTATTTAATTAAAAAGTTGTACATTATTTTTCATATCATTTAACCAGTTGATATTTCGCCAAAGAACAGGTCAAACTTTCGGGTACATACCTGGAAATACTCATAAAAATTTTAATCCGAAACCCGCGTAAGTATAGAGCACAGACTGTACAAAAAAACTAAGGAAACTTGATATTCTTTATCTTTCGGCACAACAAAGGGATTCATATATAGACATCTACAACCGAAGCACAGGGACGGATCTAATTAGTTGTTTGTTGTGTGTTATGCTTTAATGTAAGATTATTAATATTTCAAGTGGAGATATATTATACGCATTTAAAAATTATAACATTATTTGCATAATTTCCTAACTTCAAATAGGTGTTTCATAAATGTTACTAAATTTAGTTTTAAAAGACAAATTAATCCTTAATAAATATTCTCGACACTGTAGTCAAAATCACCATGAAACTATATTATTTATATCTACTATTTATATGATTTAATTGAAGTATTTAAATTTTACATTGAATATTAAAAATCAATGTAGGATGTTATGAAAAATTCTTGAACAACTGTTATTTGTATTCTTTTATTAAAAGATTTTGGAATGTATTAATCTGGCTTTAATTTCTAAAGTGATTAAAGCACGCAAGCCTTCTCACCATATCAAGGTTACATTCCTAGAAAAGGAAAATAGGAACAATATCATGTTTCTTTCCAAAATAACGTTAACCAACAGATAGGTGGTTACGTTTAATAAAGTAAAAATATAACTAAAATGAAAAATAAAATCTTAACAGAACTATCATCTTCCCTGGATGTGTCATTCAGGTTTATAATACAAGAATGAGTCGGAAATACTCGATGATTATTTTTAATTTTGGAAACATGGAGAACATAATTGGGCCATAATTCTTGAGATATACCTTCAACAATTTCTCTGATAACATCTAAAACGCTTTCAGACAACGAAGGATTAACATTTTTTTTTGACCTCCCTTTTGATGTTACTTCAAATTAATTTTATTGCATTAAATATTCAATAATATGGTGGTAAGCGTATTGCAGTATGACTGAATGCCATACCCATCTCATCCACAACATAGCTATGTTTGAGATTTAAGCCTTTCAATATTGTAAGCAAATCTTTTTTAAAACTGTAGGTGAATATGATACACCAATTCTGTCAAAAAACGCGGAAATTACTTCTTTTCGAGTTTTTTGCTTAATATCTCTTAATGTGGTTTTGGAAATATTTAAAAAATTGTATTTTTTTTTATGAAACTTTCACACCCTGTATTTCCGTAACGAAGCGTTTTTGAGGCATAGTGTAGGTATATGACAAAAATACCTTTATTTTAGCTCCAGAATACGCTGCTGAAGTTATGTACCGTACTTGTCGAACATATATTTATGAAGTTTCTAATTTACGAAAAATAAATGTATAGACATATTACTATCACAATTCTATGTCTGGGACACAAAGGGTTAAATAAAATAAAACTCATATATATGATCACAAATTTATTCATTTAATATGGTTTATCGTGTGTTAAAGAATAATTTTTGTGTGACAAAACATTCACGAAGCTTAGATAGATAATTTACATAAATTGTGCTATACAAATAGGTAACTACATAAAATAATTTACAAATATTTCATAATATACATTTAACATTTACTAATATAAAAAAATAATAAAAAAATTAACAACAAATGTTTATTTACAATTGGTTGGTGAGTTTTATTTTTTGAAAAAAATGTGGAATAAATTCGTCAGAAACAATTCAACGGTTTGTAAAAAAAGTAATTCTAGGTTATTTTTGCTTATTAAGAGGAACCAAATATTTAAAATAAGGCGATTAGACGAAACATGCTTAGAGTGTTAAAGTTAAAAACTCGAAAATTATTAATAGCTATAATTTTTTTTATTATTCAGTATAGTTTTACTAAATTCGCCAAATATTTTTGGTTTAATAAGTTTTGGCAGTGGCATACAACATGGATAAATAACACCTGCAAAATCGCGAGTAGGTACCAATAAATCAAATACAATAAGTGTCAAAGTGGGAGTACTACAAGGTTCTGTTATAGCCCTTCTTTATTTCTTATATTCATTAATGATGTTGAACTAACGTATCCCACACCACACCTTAAAATTATGTAAGCTGACAACACAAGTTTCGTTGTATCAGCAAAAAATTATACCTTCCTAATAAATATAGCCAATCAATCAGCACTTGATTTTAGTAATTATTGCATTACTCATGGACTAAAAATGTAAAAAATGATTTTGGCTTCATCGTCAAATTAAAACATAAATCAATTGAACAGACATCTTTTAGTAAATTTCTGAAACGGCATATTATAGATCAGTGGTCGTCAACCTGTCGATCGCGAGCTACCAGTAGCTCGCGGAGGCAATTCTGGTAGCTCTCACAACGATTTTAAT